CAATGAAAAAATGAATGAAAAAATTTTATTGAATTAGCAAACTTGATGCCCCATTTAATAAAATTTCTTTTAAAGGATTTGTAAACTTCAATAAACTTTTCTTTTTATCAAATATTATCAAAGAATTAAAAATTAAAATAGACAAATCTTTTATAAATAAAAGACATGATACATGTAAAATTGCTTGATATCTATTTAGAAGAAGTAAAATCGTATTATTTAAAGATTGAAGATATTTAGAGACGTCTTTTGTATTTTCATCTGACTTTTTTTGATTTAAAACACGCTGTAACATTTGATAGTTGTTTAATAAATTTCTAAAATTTTGTTTTAGCATACTTAAATCAAAATTAAACCGTTCATTAGAAGAAATATCTTCTGCTTCTGATTTAATATTATTTTCAAAATTTAGTATGTCTAAAATTAAGCTTTGTAATTTTATTTGATTAATTTTAGAAGTATTTGCAACTACACTATTTTTGTTTATTTTCTGAAACATTTTAATAATTTCACTCTGACAAAAGTTAAGGAAATTCCAATTTTGAATAATATAATCAACGTTTTTTAAAAAAACTGTTTTTGAAACTAACTTAAACATATTAATTAACGAAATTAAATCGTTAAATACATTAATTAGTTGATTTAATTTGTCTAAATCATTAATTTTTAAATTTTCTTTATCAAATAACACTATTACAAACTTAATTAAATAATATTCACAAAAATTAACTTTCTCTTTAGAAACTGAAAATATGTCAAAATTTATAAATTTTGATATTTCTTCAAAATTTTGTGCATTATTTAAAACACTCACATCACCATTTATTTTATATTCAAGTCTTTCATTGCTGAGTATAAAAGCAATAATTTTTTTATAAAAATTAAAAAACCTATCATCTGATAAATCAGAATTGTACAATTTAAAAGCTTCTTCCCATTGTTTTTTGGTGATTAGATTGTATTTTATACCACAATAGTTAAAGGTATAAAAAATTTTATCAACATTATGTTGTTCATTAATCACCGGATTAGGCCCACCTTTATTTTTATTTTTCTTCATTGGTACATTATAATTCTCTTCATTAGTATCATCTGATGGTCTTTTTCCTGAATCTCTTGAATAAACAGTGTAACTTGTAGATGGTTCATTTGAACAAAAGAAATGACTCATTGTCAAGTAGCTGTTTATTATCATTTTTAAAAGAGGGGTATATTTTTTTAAATATATTGAAAAATTTTAGCAAATTATTTTTATTTAGATTATTAAATTATATTTTTTATAAAAACTTAAAATTTCACTTTGTATGCAATATATTATGTGAAATTTTTATCACATCACACATGAGGTAATTGAAGTCATTTTATTATTTGAAAAAAAAACATTAATTAACCTAATTTTATAATAAATCTATTTAATCATTTAATAGAATATAAAATAAGTTATTTTGTTTTTAAGTGTGACACGTAATAATCATTTGAAATTCTTTAATTAATAATTTTAAAAAGGGGTAGTTAAAAACAATTTTATAAAGTTTTACACGTCTTATGAAACTAATAAAAAATTTTATTAAAAATTTTTTATTAGAAAATGAAATTCAAAGAATTAATAGAGAAAGTAAAAGATTTGTCAGATGAAGAGATTATTAAACTGGATGTAGATTTGATCTTAAAGAATTTTCTTAAAGAATCAATAGAAATTAATAAGTTTAATTTTGATCAAGCAAAAGAATTAGTTTTTTATATGAAAGATTCAAGGAATATTTACGATGAACTAATTGAATGTCTTTATATTGAAAAAGTAAAACTTGATGCATTGATGTTGATATTCGAATTAGTTGAACACACAGATTTCGAATTTGATAACTTGTGTGAGAAATTAACTGAAGTTTTGAGTACAAAAACTAAAATTACTGAAGAATTACTTTATTTTATAATTCAAGTAGTTAATTTTGAGGTAAAAAGATCAAATTATGATTTTATTGAAGATATAATAACTTATTTACTTAATATGTCTATAGATGTTAATACACCTGCCTCAACAAACATAATTTATACCATTCTCACCTGTTGTAGAATTTATCCTAATTTATATTTATTAGTTAACAAATCAATATCTATTAAAATGTTATATTTTTCTTTTAATAAAAAATTAATAGAAAGAATATATATAGAAGCAAATAACGACAGTTCGAGACCTAAGAATGTCTTTTTAAATAATTTCTGTTTTCCTAAACTAAAAGAAGATTTGATTTAATTTTAGAAAAGATAAATAAAAAGAGATTTATTATTTACATTAATTTTTAATTACGTTCTCTTCTCTAATACGAGCCTCTTCTGGTAAACCAATTTCCTCTGTCAAAGTTTTATGTCCACTTTCAGTTAAGAAATACCAAGCATGTCTCCAATTACCATAACATTCAACCATTTTAAAAGAAATAAACTTCTTCATAACCGTTTGAATAACACCTACGGGTAAGTCCAAATCTTCATGATGTTCTCTCTTATCAAAAGGAAGAACTATACCCATATTGTTTTGTAAATACTTTTTAATCTTATAAGTTGTCTTAGCGTCTACTGACATTTAAGGGGATAAAAAATTTTAAATAAAAAGAATTTGTTTGTTACGAAAAACCCCCTTTAATGATCATTGAAATTCTGGATTTTTGTGTGAATGTATTGAATGGTTCATTTTATGAGACAAAAACCTTATTAAGTATCCAAGTACCGTTTTTTAAAAAAGTATCATCAGTTTTATGTCTCTACTTAGCATTTTTTGGTATTTACACACACAGACTCTCTTTTATTTATTTAGAGAATCTCATCTTCTTTAATATATTTTTTTCACTTAATGAGAAGATAACTGATCAAATTAATAGCTATATCAACAATAAACCAGTTCAATGGATATTTAACATGATATTTCATCCTGTATTATTTGTGTTTTTATTAGCCACAATTAAATATCAAACATATAATTATATTATGTATCCTGTTGTAGCATTAGCAGGTAGGTTCTTTTTTGCCTTAACAAGTAACTTTTATAAAAAAATCATAACTACTGATGAAAAAAGACATATTTTAACGTTTTTGACATCACAATTTATAAGTTTTTTGTTTAAACGACTTAATTCTAGGTATGAAAGAGAAATTGTTTGTTTTTGGTTTTCTTTTGGAGGGATTTTTTATTGTCTTGAATTTATCAAAGATATGGATTTTGTTAAAAATTACTTTAATTTTAAAGTTTGTTATGATGTATCAATTGAAGGAAATGATTTTTTATTAACTTACGCAACATTTGTGTGTTTTTTAGGTTTTTCTTACACATTTCAAATGGTCTTCTATAAGATTTATGTAAAAAAGAAGATCAATAAACAAATTTGATTTGTTCTATAGAACTTTTTATTAAAATTTTTAAAAAAAATTTTAACCCATGGATAGACAAATTGTTGTAGATGGAACTGGTCATATTGCAGGTAAATTAGCTGCTTGTGTGGCTAAAAAGTTATTAGAAGGATATAAAGTTGCAGTAGTATGTTGTGAGAATATCATGTTTACTGGACCACTTCACAGACGTGTAGGGAAGTATAACAGTTATAAAGATAAGAGATGTGTAGTTAATCCTAATAGGGGAGCTTTTCACTATAAAGAACCATCAAAGTATTTCTTTAAGATTCTTAGAACTATGGTTAGACGTAAGTCCACCAAAGGTAAAGAATGTCTCACTCGTGTTGAAACTTTTGAATCAATTCCAAGATGCTACTTTAATGTTGAAAGAGTAATGTTCCCAAAGGCTCTTAATGAACAGACTAACAATCCTGAGGGTAAAACTTGTTTAATGGGAGAGCTTTTAGAGAAATTTGGTTTTAACAACAGAAAATTAGCTAATGATCTCACCAAATCAACTATTGAATCAGAAGAGAAGATTAATAGTGTTGTAAGAGAAAAGGAGAGTGCAATTAATGAATTTAAAAAGACTGAATCGTTTAAAAAAGACCTCAAAACAAGATTAGATGCTCTTTTGTAAATAAAGTTTTTATTAAAGAAAATTTTTATTTTTGTTTACACAAAATTGGTCCAAATGATTCTGTTTGTTTTACATTTAATTGTCCTTTAAAACATCTTGTTAGTAACTCATAAAATGCATTAGCCTTTTCATTTTGACTTTTATTAGCAATCATTTCATTGAAATTAAATTCTTGTCCAAATTCATTAAAATCTATAAAAGAGGTGCTTGATATTTCTGGTATGAAGTTATTAAATGTTCCTTCAAAATTTGGTTCTTCAATAGTTACTTGAAATCTCTCTTGTTCTATGCTCTTATTTAATTCGATATTATTTTTTATTTCCTGTTTTAGAAATTCTTCAATATCTTTGGAAATGTGAATTAAGTTAGGATAACTGAACATACTATCTTCATTTGACTTATATTTTGTTCTGTTAATGTTAGTGTAATCTGTTGGAGTAAATTCAGTTACTTTGTCTTCAATTATTTTTCTTTTTTTTGTCTTATTAATCTGTAATGAGCTTTCTTTATTTGAATCTTCTTTAAATGAAATTTGATCTTTTATCATTGATAAATCAGAACCGATAAATGCATCTGAATGAATTATTGATGTTTCTCTAACCATTTCAGGTTCATCTAATCCAAAATCTATTAAATTATCACAATCTGATTGTAAATTTAATTCACTTAAAGATTTAGTTGCTCCTTTTATTGTTTCTGCATCAATATCATCAATTACACTGTTAGATGTATGCACATCATCTGCTTTAGTTAGTATTCTCCTTGTATGTGATGTTTTTACATGACCTGACATTACTTTAAAAAACTTGGCACAATCTTCTAATAAATACTTCTTCTTTTTTTTATTTAGTTTTGATAATGCCAGTATAAACAATGCTGATAATTTTAAGTTTAGATTATCAACTTTCTTCAATTCATCAATAAATAGACTTATTTCAAATCCAGATATTCTCTGTCTTGTTAGTCTTTTCAAGGCAAATAATGCTTTGTATAATATGCTGTCTGCATTTAAAGTTAATTCATTTTCTATATTCTCAATCATTTTAGGGTTCATTAATTTTTCTTTTTATAAAAGTTTCCCTCCAAAATTAAAATTTGTTTGTTAAAAGAAATCAATTATGCAATTCATGCGTAAAATTATATATTCAGAAAATTTTATATATGCATGATTATACAAAGTATTGTATCATATATCACAGATATATCTGCTGGTAGAAGAGGAGGTCTTGAAGAATGCTTTAGATTAGATGAACATGAGAGTGAAGAACGTTGCGAAGAATATATCCCAGATGTTATCCAAGAGAGTATTGTGAACCTGAAGTTAAGTTTATCTGTTGCCCAAAACCTCATAAGAAGAAGAAAGAAAGGAGAAAAAATTGTGATAGCATTATAAAAGAGATTGAGATTATATTAGCAAATTTACAGTCTAAATTGAATAACCAGGCTAAGAAAGACGTTCAAGAAGTTTTCAATACTTTGCTTTCAAGACTTGAAACTTTAGATGGTAAGACTGTAGCTGAAATAAGATCACTTATTAATAGATTGGAGAAGGATCTTCTTAAGGCCATAGATGATATATTCATTGCATTAAAGAAATGCATATGCAAAGTTGTTAATGAAGGATTAGGAACAATTGATACTGTTACACAAACTGGATTAGTTGCCGCTAAAACAGCAGTAGCCAAATTAATTGCTGATCTTGCTGCTATCACTGATGACAAAGAGATTGCAAAAGATGTAAGAAATAGATCTACTGGTTTACAAGCACAATTATTTATTGTGCTTGATGTATATGCAGGAGCTGTTGAAGCATCAATTAATAAACAAGAAAAAGAAATTTGTGATAAAATTTATGAATGTTTAAACAAAGAGAAACTAATATTAGATGCAATAGTTGTTAGATTAATCAAAGAATTTACTGCTGCACTTAAAGCCATAAATGAAAAAGATCAACTTGATATTAAGAAGTTACTTGAGAAAACGGAATCAAAATTAGAAAAGAATTTATCTGTATTAATCACAGATTTAATTAGGTCTAATTCCTATTATATAGTAAAACTCGTTAAGAAATGTGCTAAGAGAATTGAACATTGTAGTTATGACAGTAGTTCAAGTGAAGATTGGGATGTTTTTTATCCTAATTTTAATTCTAGTCAATTTCAAGGACTTAGAATTTTACAGTAAATAAAGTGAGATTATAAAATTTTTATTTTATTTAATAGACATAAATTTAATTATTTAAAACATTTTATTTATTCTATAAGAATTTTTTTTAAAAAGTTTTAATAAAATTTACTTTTATCTTTAATTTTTTTATTAATCTTTCCTACATAAAAGTAAAATTGAAACAACTTAAAAATAAATATTTTATTATATAAAAACAGGATTAAAATATGTTTATTATACTTTTTAAATAAAATTATAATAAGCATATTTTAATCTTGTATATTTAAAAATATTATCTTCAAGCTTTACATATTTATTTCTTTATTATAATATTATATTTATTAGCTATATTAATAAGAGTTTATCTTAAAAATTTTTCAGTTTCTTATAAATTCAAACATGTTAACAACACTATTTGAAAACATTTACTTCTTTTTAATTTAAGAAAAAAAAATTAATAATTTTATATTTATTTATACTTAAAAAAATCTAATGAAAATTTCTGAAAAGTATAAAATGTTTAAAAAATAAGTATAATATCATTTAAAAATCCTAAAATTTTTAAAGAAACATAAGCAAAACATTTATTTGATATAAATTAAATTTATAGATAAATTAATTGAGTTTAATTATTTATTAAAACATACTTAAAATAGTAAAACATTAAATTTTAAATAATCATTTAAAGATTTTTAAATTAAAACTAAAATATAATTTTTTTAAATACTTCATGTAAGAGCTTAAAGTTAGTTGTCTTTTTAATTGATTAAACTAAAATAATTCTTATTTAATTAGTAATTTCACTAATAAAATCAATAATTTACGTAATAAAAACAATTAAATAATAATTCTAATTAAGTTTTTTAAAATAAAAATTTTATTTTGAAAAAAAATTAACCCATAAATGTTTGTTTTAAAGGTATTCGGTTTTAAAATTCTTTATTGTAATAGTGATGAACAACCACAACTAGAAACACACTCACAACCACAGTTAGAAACAAGAGAAGTTAATAATAAGAAAGGACAATCTAATCAAAATTTTCAAAGTAATGATAGAGACAATATATATTTGGAAAGTTTTAAACGAGAAATTAATAAGTCTTTTGCTGATTTTCAATATTTAAAAATAAACAGAAAACAATTTAATGAACTAATTACAGGTTATAGACAATTTGAAATAGATCCTAATAATTATACAGATACATTTCTTAAAAGTCTTTTAAACACAATTTTAGGAGAAAATAGAATTCAATTTTTCTATAATAGTGAAATATACAATGAGATTTTAGATTATTTTAAATGTTTTTTAAAAGGAGAGATTTTCTTTATTTTTTCTTATGATAATTCTTATTTTGTAAAAAAAGAATATTTTTACAGATCAGATAAAGAATTGATCATTTTAATTATTGAGATATTAAGACATTCAAAAACATGCAATCTTGAAGTTATCTTTAAAACTATCAATAAAACAATTGAGTTTTATGAAAAAAGAAATGCATTGGATGCTTTTTATAAGTTAATGCAAAGGATTGAAAATTTAAAGCAACTTCAGTTAAGTCAAATTAATTTTAAAAAATTAGAAATTGTTCAAGATGTAATTCATAATAATTTTAGGCGTTTAAACAGTCAATTTGACATTCCTTACTTCCAAAATATTTCTAATGAGAATTTGAAAATACTATTTGCACAGATTTATTTAAATATTACAAAATACAAACAAGATTTAGAATTATGTTATAATGGAGGACCTGTGTATTTAAATAGTGTTGTATCTTATAATCTAATGAAGAGTTTTAACGAAGCTTTTAATTGTATTTTCCAAAATAACAAAGAAGTTTTTAAATTATTCTTTTGGATTTATACTTTTAATTATATTAATTATATGGATATTGATATTAATTTTAAATATATTTTTGAACAAATGCGTTTAACATATATGAGAAGTTTTATCTGAATAACACTAATAAATTAGTATTTTTAAAATAAAAGTATATTTATTATTTTTAATTATGAAGTATAAAAATTTTTAACTAATTACAGCTTACATAAGCAATAAGTAAAATTTTATATTTAAAAAAAATCATTGATTCACTTTAAAAATATATAAACTTGTTTATGTAAATAATTTGTTTCTTTTTACCAACAAAGTTTAATGCTTATATTTAAAAAAAATTAGTAAGCATAATTATGATAAGCTTGATAAATACTATATACCTCTTCATGTTATCATATGTAATGTCAGGGAGAAGTGACTCTAACGATAGTTGTTGTTATTCAAATGACAGGTTTATATTCCCTGAATACTATTGTTCATATCCAGTTTATAAAACAGAATATGTAAAATATTGTGAACCATCAGAATTATTCCAGGGTGTTAACTATATTAGAGAAGAAGATCTTAGAGAACTTATAAGAGAAATAAGAGAAATTATCAATCTTAAGAGAAATGATATAGAACATCAACATCAAAAATATTTTACAAGCATGGTAGAGGAAATGAATGAAATGATTACCAGGGAAATGGCCATGTTAAATGAGGAACTAAGAGAAGAAGATGATCAGCTGGGTATAGAAATTTCTCGTAATGCTTGTAACTTTCGCACGAGATTAGAAAACTTACATAAAAATGAGTTTTTTAAAACTAAAGCAAAAATATTCAATTCATTTAAGAATTTTAATAGTCAGGAAATGATTGAGAAAATTAAAGAAAATGAAGCTGCAGAAAAAGAACCATTGACTTCTCTTCAATTACTAGGACCTTTGGCTAATCAAGTAAACCAAATTTATGAAGAAACTGAAAATGCAGAACAATCTGCTATTAAAAGTATATTCAAACAACTTGTAGATATAATTAGACCACTGGTAGAAGAATATCAAGAAGATAAACACCATATTATACTTAAAACACTAGCAAGACTCATATCAGGTATTAGGCACATAACAGATTGTTATAAGAGAAAGCTCCTAAAAAATCAGATAGACGATGATTCCGATTGCAATGATAAAATTCATAGTGTATTGGAAAAATATAATAGAGAACTAGAAAGAAAGTTATATGAGTACTTCATTTATTACTGTAAGATGGATTGTTCTAATTGAATAAACTCTATTAAAAATTACCAAATATGGTATTATAAAATATTTTAATATGGCTGCAATATGTAAAGATTAATAGTTTATTTGGAAGGTATAAAAGAAGCAAGATTCATTCATTCATCTTGTATTTTACTTCTTATTTCAGTAACAAAAAGAGTTTTTTTCTCTTCATTCTCTTTACTTCAGATCTAACTTCTTTTTTATTACATGCATTACATTCTTTGTTTACATTATGACACTCCGGTTCACCTTCAGAATTGTGAAACAATCTTACTGTACAAATAGCTACTTTGTGTTGTTTCTTTGTATTTTTAGTACGTGTTTTTAGTTGAGTTAATTCGTGTTGAGGTGTTACTGTAACTGTGATGTATTTTACTTCTTTTTGAATGGTTTTAGAGGGTTCTAAACTTTGATCAATTGAATTAGTTGGTGTGATAGAAGATGTATAATCATGTGTTGATGTTTGTTTTGATACGGTGGGAATACTAGTTGAATTTGTAATAATTGGTACATTTTCAGATACTGTCTTAACCACAGAACTATAAACTGTTGTTGTAACAGGTATACTTTTCTCTTCTACAACAGTTGTAATTTTATAATTAATAATGGGTGTTGTATAAATTGATGTCGTCGTAAATTCTCTATAAAGGGTGATTGGTTTATCTACTTTGACCGTTTTCTCTACAACCCTAGTTACGGTAACATCTTCGTTTCTTATAGCATCTATGTTAGTGTTTTTTACTTTTTTACAATTTTTTTTATTTGTATATTCATTATCATTAGGAGTATTTTGACAGCCAGGGTTGCATTTTTTTGGTTTATTTTCAGTTTGTATTGGTGGTTGTGCCAAATTATTTTGTTTTCTTAATGTAGCTATTAAATTATAAAGATCTTTAATTTTGAAATCATTCTGAGATGATATTGTAGTTTCTGGTCTACTTGAACTAGTGTAAATAGTTTTTGTTTCTGGTGGTTGAGTAACAGTTTCTACTTTAGTTGAGATTTCATTTTTAAAAGAACTTGTTTCAGATACCTGTTTTTCTTCAGTCTTGAATACAGTTGTAGTAACAATCTCAAGTTCTTGCTTTTCTTTAGTTTTAGATTTACATTCACTAGAAGAATTTATTATAGGAAAATCTTCAAAACCTTCTTTAATTGCTGATTTTAATGTATTCTTTATATCTTTCAATAATTTCTTAGTGTCATCATTGTTGTCTTCAAAATGACTATTATCATTCTCATTGTTAAGAATAAAATATCTATGATTAGTTGGACTACACTGTAACATATTATTTACATCAGGTATGGGGACACACCTGTCTCTAGGTATTGAATAAAGTTGACATTGTTCTTCATATGACAATCCATAAATTATGCTTATAAATGTGTATAACATGCTTATTTTGTTTAAAACAACAAACAAAATATCATTTAAGTTTCATCATGTTTACTAATAATAACTATTTTTACCCATAAATGTTGAAAGAATCAAATGAAATTACACAAGAATATTTTTTAGCATCATCTTCAACTGAATGTATTGATGAGATAGAAGACGGTGAAATAGCAGATACATACATTCCGTTTGAAAATTCGTATTTAAAGAAGATTTATAGTAAAAGGGACAATGTTCTTATTGGATTAGATTACCATCAGCCAAATGTTGATGAATTTACAAATTCAAACAAATTAAAGATGTTTATTAACAAATATAAACAATCACTTGACAAAACTATTATATCAAACTCACAAGAATTTTTTCTAAATAACAAATTAAAGATGTTGCTTAAATATGTCAATTATGAAAGTTATAATTTCACTCTTTTAAATGAATATAACGATAATTTAAAACCTTTAGTTTTAAAATCGGATAAAGGTATGCACATTGTATCTACAAAATCTACTAATTATAACTACAAGGAAGATTATAAAAAATTTTATGAAAAAATTGTTAAAAGAAATGAAAAGGTATTTGATAAGAAGCCAATAATAATTATGAAAACTGAATTTATCGACAAAGTTACAGATAGTTCTGCATTTATATGTTTTAAAGTAGAAGATAAGATGATTGTATTTATAGATGTTTATTATAACGAGATAGAATTTTTTAAGGGTCTTGAGTTGAGTAGTGAGAATAAAGTTAAAAATGGGTCGTTTTGTTATAATAAATATGATGTTAAGGATAACAAAGGACAAGGATTTATACTATTTCTATATTCAGACACCACATTTAAGAATGATAATGAAAACATTACATTTGATCGAATATCTTTTTATGGTGACGGTGTTGAGTCTTTTGGCAATACAAAGACAATTTATGCCAATAATTCAATATTTATTAAATCATTTGAAAAGTATAATTATAAAAATATTTTGGATTATTTATGTGGCTTAAACACAATGGAAAATGGTGATTATGTGCTTAATAGTGGTAATTTATATGAAATTAAAGGTGATGGTGATAGTGTTTTATTTAAAGGTTTTGACTATTCATTATTGGTAGAGGATTAAATTATTTTTTATTACGAAACACATAAAACTTTTCAGATTGACATTCTGTACATTTTCTTGAGAGACCAAACCCGCTTTCTTTTTTTATATAATTCATAAGTAAGTTTTTATTAAGAATCAACACTTTGTTACACTTGAAACAGATTGTTCTTTTTAGTTTTCCAAGTTTTATTTGATTGTGATTAGTCAAGTTGACTATCTTTTTAATAAATGACTTGTTTTCGGGAAACTTAATGGCTAGTTTATATAAGTAATTAATTTGTTCAAGTACACTGATGTTATTTTTTTTCATTAAAAATTATTTAAATAATTAAATTTTAATTAATTGATAAAGATTGAAATTATTAAAACAAATGATATTTACAATAATGAAGATGATTGAATAA